TCTTCCTCTCCTCCTGCTCACGCTTGCCTTCGTGTGAGTACTCAGCTGAAATGTCCTGAGGGACCCAGTTTCAAACACAGGAACCAGAAACATATGGCACATTTTCAACTCCCAAGGTCAATTACAGCTATTTATCCAGAGATTGCAGCTAAATTTCCCAAGGTTTCTTCTAGATTTACCACAGATTGCAATGTGTGTCTGTCACATTTTAAATCAGGCCAGTTTCCTCTGCTTCCCTCCACTCCCTGCGACTTTCCATCAAATGTTTCAAAGGCTTTCAAGTGAGTTTTAGACATGTTTTATCTCTGGTTATCATGTGCCCCATCTTTTTTGCTTCAGTTTTGCGAGGTCCAAGTGCTGCTTGCAACACAAATCTAATAACATGTAAATTGGAGATAAGCCCAGATCCCTCCAAGTGATATTTTTTACATTCATAGTTTGTCAAGTCAATTCCTGGGCCCCTGTTTTAGCAGCACAACACATGAGGAGTGAGAAAATTAACTGGATAGGTGATTCATCATTGCTAGCACACTGTCAAGGACTCCCTCTGCAGCTATTGAGAACAGGGTGGAGGAGGAGGATGGAGAGGGGAGGAGGGTGGCAGCGGCGGTGGTGGGGGGGACACGTTGTTTTAAATTATGGCATTTCATTCAGAATGCATTGTATTTACAGCGTCCCATTTTTATTTGTGGCTCCTATTATCCACCGAAACAGTTGTGCATGAAATGTTATTTGTGACAGGGGTGACCTGCGAGTGTTTTTCCACACAGTATTTCATAGTCGGGGGGCCTTAACTGTACCTTTACCGTACGGTAAGCACAAGAGGCTGTCACAGCTGCTGTTGGCAGCCTTGCTAGTGCAGAAATATCACCTGGAAACAGAGTACTCCATTCCACCGGCCCCCATCACTCCAACGCCTGTCGCTGTAATTAAGTTGAAGTCAATGATTCTGGAGCGATGGTGAGAAATAAACATGCAAACACGTGCCAGCATTTGCAGCCAGGCACAGAGAGAAATGTTGGGTGGGTGGGTGGGTGGGTGGGTGGTGGAGTTGGGGGCGCTTTAACACTGGAAGCAGAGGAAACCAGCGGATTTACATCGTGTTCATTGGAATTTACATTTGAGTTTCATTAAGCCACTTTTGATTATATTGATGAAATTAGCCACTTATTAGATCCCCCAAATCCCCCACCTTTTTTTTTTTTTTTTTTTTTTGTGTGAAAATGCCACTATTTATGTGCAGCTCCTGGTGGAAATGTTATTTGACAAGAGGTGCTGTACGGTAGTTTGAGTCTGTCGAACAAAACACGCTGTTTGCTTTTCCCAGAGCATGACAGGTTGTTTCCCCTGCAACAAAGCCATCAAATATTCTCTGTGATCCAACATTGTGTTGGAGGGGAGGCCTGCTGAGTGGGAAGCCGGAGTTTGTTAAAGCAATGATTTATGATTAATGCCAACACTAAATAAGGGACAAAGTGCCTACAGTACAAATCAATTACAAAGCTACAACAGCAGACCTTTCCCCGAGGTCTACTAACGTCTCTAGTTGTTATGGAGATTTTATTGGAGGTGGGTGATGCATGCATATAATGCACGCAATACATCTATATCAACCTGAGCTGGAGCCAACTGTAATGCTTTTGATCTTTGATTAGTTACTTTATTGAGATAAAATGGGACTTTCATGTCGTGCCACTGTATAAGGGAGGGTGCATTTTATATCTCAACCCAGACGCCCACCTCGGAATGCAGACAGGATTGCACCAAACAAAATAAATTACCGCAGGAGTGGCTTCTTAAAAGTAGGCAATTCATTATTTTTATGAAGTCAAATTATAAACAAATTTTAATCCATTAGGCAACCATCCATTCTAATTAATCAACAGGAGTGAACTCCATCTGAAAAAGGAGAAAGGTTGTTTACTCTCTCCACGGACCAGCGGTGCATATTTCACCATCTTCCCCACTCAGGAAGAGAAGGGGGGAGAAGGGGAAAAAAAGATCTCCAAATTACAAACCTAAACTGTGAATCCTAACACTCGACTTTTGGCGGTGAGATGTTTCCAGGGCATTTGCAGATGCTTGAAATAATCTCCAATGTTTTTGCTCAATCTGCTCTGAGGATGGGTGAAATAAATACTTTAAACTAATTAATGTAAGACCAGCTGTTCCCAGCACTTGGCTGGCGTTGGTGAATATTGATGGGAGGGAGAGGCAGGGCTGTTCAGCTCCGCTCGCTGTTTGTTCAAGATTCAGCCTGCCACATAAACAGATATGAATACTGGATGAGAGCAGAGAGGTGCTGTGCACAACACAGCCAGGGTTCCACATTACAAATAAAACTTTTCCCCCCTTTCATTAAATTAACAATTAAACAGCTGATGGCGCAGGCTTCCTGTGGAGACCTTTTTAGACTTGGATGTGTTTAATAAAGTGTCTCTCTGCAAGATGGTAACACTTAGAAATTCCTGGCTTGATAAAAAGCTCACTGGGCAAAAACATGTGTCAGATCTGATGGGGCAGCAAACGGCACAGTCTGACATACTGTTTTAGTTTGACCAGGCTGTACGTGTTTCTGCCGCTCTGCCTCCTGCTTTCTCTCCCCTCCCTCTAAAGCTCCTCCTTCCTCCTCTGAGGCCCGGTGGAGAGGCTGGACAGCAGATGGCAGGGCCCTACCCTTCTGCCGGTGATGAATGGAGGATGATGTCATCTTAAGTTTGACAGTCACCCATGCGTGCATACATAAAGGAAGCCCAAGCCGCTGGGGTCAAACTGCTGGCCTGCTTCTGATTTTTTGGAGTCCACATGACATCTCTTAAATGGGGGAAGCTGGATTTATGTCCTGGTTGATATTGTTCAACTCCACCATTCAGGCTGAGAGAAGAGGCAAAAAAATATGAAGGAATGTCCAAGGGAGCAATCTGCCCACTATATTTCTGAGTGGAAAGGATAGCTGGGATTGGCTCCTAGAGATCAATACAGGCCCAGCCATTGCTGCTGGTCAACTTGATTCAGGATCAATATGTATTAGCTTACCAACAAAAAAGCTGCTTACATATATGGCCACTTACTTTCAAGTGGAGCAACTTTTAGTTTTAGGAATCATCAATCAGTCTTTGTTGTTACTGTTTTTCTTTGCAGAGGACAACCCAATGTGCACCCCAACAGCAAGAGATAGCTACGAGCGGTTGTCACTGGCTGGACAGACCCTGCCTCCGGGATTCCCTTCACCTTTTCTCTTCCCAGACGGCCTGTCATCAATAGAGACTCTCCTTACCAACATACAGGTATTGTTGCTCACTCGTGTTCTTGTAGTAAACTTTGCGTTGAACCTTTGACCTCAGATATGAGGGCCTCTACGTGGTCAGACTTAAAAAAGCCTGGAAAGGTTTCCAGCTGCACCCTACTAGATCAGCTTTGCGGGATTTATAGGTTTTTTTTAAGCCTTACTTACTGTATCTCGTCGCGGGCCTTAGTTGAATTCCACAGTTCACCCCCTCACTGCCTTTAAGAAAGTTTTTCTGATTGGCTGGCCCTTGCAAACTGAACAGTAGGTGGGTGGAGCTTCTATGTTCACAGCTAGAGCTATGTGCCTGGGACAAGCATATTAAGGATGTGAAATTCTTATAGATTTTTAAAGGTACAGTGCGTAAAATGTCACCACTAGATGTCAGCAGATTGCAGTCAACTGAATATTGTTTTATCCCTCCCAATTCAAGTTCATAATCCTAGCTACAGTGACCGCCGTACCACAGTGTTAGCTTATAACCTGCTGTTGTTGTTTAGCCGGCTTGTTGTCAGGTGTCCGGAGACAGGAGGGTCTCAGGACAGTGATAAGTGCAACAATATTAGGAATAAATAAGCACATTTCACAGTTCAGGAGATGAGGCGAAGAATGATTATGAAGTGAAGATGTGAAGAAGTGAGAACAAATTAAAAAAGAAATGATGCAAATACAAATGTAAAAATGTTAACTGGTCATATAAAGTTTGAAAGAGCAATTTGTCATCTTTAAATTAAAAGTAACTTATAAAGTGTACTATGTACGTGGCAGGTCTAGCTACAGGCAGAAAGGCGATGTACATAAATAACCTCAAAACATTTCTTATTGTACCTTTAAAGCTCTTCATAAAATCTCTGTCAGTATGTTCTACTGTTTAAGTTTCTTGCAATATTAAGGCTTCTGATGCTAGAAGTCAGTGTTACAGAGTAAGAGCTAATTTCTTTGTCCGAGAAAACTTCATGACAAGATTTGAATGGACAGTTTGCAGACCGTAAGCACTATCTGCTCAGAACTCCATTTAAGCTGCAACTCAAACACCCTCAGTCAGAAAGATGAATGTATTTGCCTTCTGTCTGAGTGTAATGATGTGTGTACGCTGCTGCCCTTCTCGTTGCACTTGTACCGTTGGCACCAGAGTCCTGCTTCTCTTTTGGCTCTGCGTGGTAATTAGAAAGGCACAAGTAAACCCACTGCGAGCTCCCAACACTCCTCTAAGTCATCTTTGATAATGATCTTCGCATTGAATATTTATATACAAATCAACAAAATGAAACCAAGCAGAAAATTAAGATAAAGCAACTTAGAATAAATTGGGGTTAGAGGAATCAACAATTAGTACGCTATAGCCCAGTGCATTGGATATAATTGCATGTGGATGGGGACTAATTGTGATGAAAGTGCCACTTCTATACGTGCACAGAACTGTGCAACATGTAATTCAGGACAGTCAGGAGTATATGATGAGTTGCTTGTCATTTTTGTTCGTATTATGAACCCCCGCTGTGCTGTGCTAAGTCTGTAAAGTTACAGCAGAGAGAGAGTAAGCTGGTGTTGTCCATAGTAATCGTTTAACCTCTACTTAACCAAATTCATCTCAAGTGTTTCCTGTTTTTCTTCTTTTTCTGACAAACTTCCCTTTTCTTCACCGTTTGCTTCCTTTAGCTCTAACTTGTTAAAGCTGTCAACAGTTGTATTTCACAGTTTTGACCAAAAGGGGTCAGACATATGCAGCACTCACATCAGTATTCTGTATCTAAAAAAAAAACAAACAAAAAAAAGAAGAAGAAGAAAGAAAATAACTACCCCAAACTCTTGTAGATCTGTATCCAGAGCTGTGGAGCAAAAGGTTGCACTAAAAGGCACCGTCATGGGTAAGAGGCTAGTTCAGGTGACAGTCTGACTGAAAGGAAACGTGTAGAAGCAGTCAGCTTTTGGCCCTGTGTTCTGCTTCAGCGCTGTGGGCAGTACAAAGAGCTGCTGTGACATACTTTCAGTGTGGTTTGCTGTCACTTCATCTTGAAGCTCTTAAATAGACCACATCATTCTCTCTCTGCCCCCCCCACTCATCCCTTTTTTGCTGTATATCTCGCTGTGTATATATTCATTGGTGTGTGTTTCTGTATGTGTGTGCGTGTGTGCAGGGCCTGCTCAAAGTGGCAATTGACAATGCGCGGGCTCAGGAGAAGCAGGTGCAGCTGGAGAAGACAGAGCTGAAAATGGAGCTGTTCAGAGAGAGGGAGCTCAGGGAGACTCTGGAGAAGCAGCTCGCCATGGAGCAGAAGAACAGAGGTACTGCCTGACGACTGCCTGGCACTGTCAGCCGTGTGTGTGTGTGTGTAAGAGAGAGTGAGAGCAGGTGGGTGGGCTTGTGCACAACTGTGTACAGTGTTCTCATGTTCAGACTTCACAGGCCTGTGCTCATGTAGATATGATCGCTCCTGAATGTATATAAGCAATTCTCCATGTATGTTTAATGCCTCTGATTAAAGCAGACATAAGCTTCTGTGTGCTTCTGTGGCTGCACATAATGTGATAGCATAGCTCTGGTTTTCCCCCTCTTAGTCTGTTAACATAATTGGAAATACACACTCGATACAGATTTACTCTCAGTCTCATGTAAAATGCATCACAGTCATATGCTAACTGTATCGTTTATGTTTAATGAGAGAAACTCATGAAAAATATCCCAATAAATTTTTCAATTAGCTTTAATTCCCTCTAGCAGTTTACTAAGTCACAGTGAGTATTTACTCAGAATCTCTTCTTTAAGGAAATATCTTTATATATAATAAAATATTTAGGATTAATTGAGTTTCCCTTTTCCATAATAGTGTGCTACACTGACTAAAAAAAAAAGATTAGCATCTTTCTGCTAGAGTATGGTGATAATCACATTTCATTTGAAAATAAGGCTCCGCTAATTTGCCCCAGAGCTCATTTTATTTTCCCACTGTGGTCTTTTCCTCGTCTTAGCCATCATTCAGAAGCGTCTGAAGAAGGAGAAGAAGGCCAAGAGGAAACTCCAAGAAGCTCTGGAGTATGAATCCAAAAGGAGAGAGCAGGCCGAGCAGACCCTGAAGCAGCCCTCGCCCTCTGACAGCATGCGCTCACTCAACGGTCAGACACTCCACAGTGAGACAGTGTTGCTGTACATGACTACTTAAGTGTGGAATTTAGAGGGACAAATAAGGAAAAGAAATCAAATGCTGGAATTCTTCCTGAGGAAAAGTGATAAAACAAAACAAAAATGATCTATTATTAATCCACATCAAATATTTTTTAGTTGCTATCTCATTTCAACTGCAACTTTCCCACAGTCAACTTATACATTTGCTTTCTGTTCTCATTATGTCCTTCTACTACTATTACAGCACCCAGTCATTTCAATTATCATTTAATCTACCTCTTGATTAATTGATTAGTCATTTAACATGTCTAAAATATCCATGGTGACATATCTTTACATGATTACCTTTGTTCTGTCAGAGGCAAAATACATTACATTGACTATGATACGCGTTTAGAAGGCTGGAACAGACAACATCAGCATTAATTGATGAACAAAATAGTTCCAAATGATTTATTTTGCTCTCTATCTGCAAGCCGATTGGCTGACGTTTTCAGCTCTAACGAGTACTCTACACAGGGATGTATCCCGGTGTAAGCACACAGACAAGCACACCTTTCCAGCACCTTTGAGGTACAAGTACATTTCCTCAATTATTGATCACTGTGTTTATCTGACAGCTCTAAGCTGGCAGAAGCCCAGTTCCATTTGTAAAAGAAACGTTCACTTCAATGCGTCAGTCATTAATGCACAAGCTCAGCCGTATCAAAGTGGCATTCTTTTATCATTAGTTCACTGGTCTGCCACTAGCGGTGCGCAGTATGGAGTTATTAAGGCAATTAGAAAAAAAAAATCAAAACACGACTGTTCATATTAGGTGCAGGTGTAACGTTGCTTTGCTAGCTTTATTTCATCAAGCCACGCTGGGGTTTTTAGTTTAAAAGATTGTTATTTCAAAGCGTTAAATCAAGGATTTCTTTCTTTCTCTCCCACCCTCCCAAACACTGTTGGTAATTAAAGCGAGAAACGGGACGCACATGCGGCTTAGATAGAGATTGACATCTTAGTCTCTTGTTTTGAATGAATGATGCTGTGAAAGTGGCATTGTGATAGGTGGATGTCAGGGATGTTTAACGGCGGTGATCCCTCTCTTCTCTCAGACTCTCTGACCCCTGAGATGGAGAGTGACCGCAGCAGTGGGAGAACAGATGCTGAAAGGACAATACAAGGTACAGGGGCTCAGATGAGACAATAAATCTCCCTCTCTTTCTCTGGCTCTCACTTTTGCTCTCTTCCTCTGTTGTCCCCCCACTCCCTTTCACTCTCACCCTCCTTTGCACACACACACACACACACACACACACACACACACACACACACACACACACACACACACACACGCCCACGCTGCTTCAGTTTATGAACATTAGTGTTTCTGTGCCTGCTGTTCAGACATACAGCTCACCATCTGGGCCACAGCACTAGGTCAAGATCATTGGTTTTCTGTAGAAATAATATTGTTCTTTCTCTTGACTTTTAGTGGGTGTGATGCTTTTAGGGAAAGAGGTAAAACTCGCGTGGGATAGAGCTGGAAAATAGCGAAAAAGCTAAGCTGTAAGGTCGTGGAAAAAAAAAAGACTTTAAAAAAAAAGTTGTTTATTTACAACTCAGGCGGCATTAATGAGTCATAAAACCACAAAAAGCAGTGGAATCCCTCCTTTGATAGTCATAAACGGGGCAAATCAATCCATTTTATGAATAAGCCTTGTACATTTTTAATGGTTTGTTTGTTTGTTAGCCTTGGGGGTGCAGTATGTGTTTGGGGAAGGGCGCTCCAGCGATAACCTCTGTAGACTGTCTGCTATCTGTGTTTACCCAGATACAAGACACCTCACAGAGGTTGAATATCCTCATTATTACTCGAACGTAATGCTTTAATACGCCTCAGCTGCATCTGCTCAGAACCGCCCTTATCAGTGGGAGAGGTCCCAATTTATCCAGGAAAATGCTGCACGTAATTTGCTGTGAAAAGTGGGGGAATGTTCAGTTTTGTGAATAAGTTAGGTCCCTTTAACTCTTTAATGTATGATTAGTCTACTTGAACTGATATTTTGTGAAAGGGCAAAAATAAGAGGAAATGTAGCAAGAGGAATAATGACTTCTCCTTAATTAAATGTCATTCAGTCACTGCGGGGATCTGAAACAGTTTGATGCCCCCACCCACCCCACCCGAAAAAAAGAAAGAGGAAAAAAAAAAGGGAAATCCATATGTCATCATTTAAAAGATAACTTCCAGATACAGCGCAATTATAGCTCTCTATTTCATACCAAATTAGTATATTTAGCCCCCTTTAATTTCTAATATTTCACACTTTCGTCAAGAGCCTGCCTCTTTGTGATGTAATTGTGTCAGATTCAATGTGTTAAAGCTTTTGCACTTAAAGTGACAGCAGCCATTGTCCTGCTGCGATGTAAAGTCGGGGTCGAAATGATTATTTTTCCTTGTCTAATCCCGGTTCGAAACACCATGATGGGAGCGTAGAGCATATAATTTTTGTGGTCTCTCAATCACTCTGATCATTGCCTCGAAGAGTGGAATGAAGGCGGAAACCGAATAACAGGCTGCACTTTGTGTTTTGTTCAATTAGAGAAGCATTTGTCTGCCACCCATGTCTCCTCTACTCTACTCTGCAAGCCTCGCCGTATAATTAACCTCAAATGGCAAAAAATGATGTTGATAAATTACACAAGCAGAAGGGGGAAAAAAAACAAGCCTATCACTCGCATGAAAGCCGAGAGAAATGTGTGGGTATAGTCTCAACTCCAAACTCAGGGAGGCGAACGGGGAGGGAGAGGGAGCGAGAGAGAGAGGGGTGGAAAAAAAAATAATGAGGGCATAATTTTAGAGAACTAATTATTTCTATTTGTCTTTTGTCACACTTCTCTAATTCTGCGATATTAACACAGTCTGTGTTTATTAATTGCTTTTACAGTGTTTTGAATCGGGTCCAAGAGGGAGCGTGGCTCTTTTCACAGGCAGGCGAGCTACTGGGACTGTACCTCGCCAGTACTGCCTGGCAACGGTGCGCACGCGAATATCTTCCCCCAGTATCTTCTCTGGTTCCCTGCCGCTTCCCCACTCGACGTGTTCGGCAAGTTTACACGACCCTGCGCGCGGAGATAAAGTTCTTTGTTGCAAGATTAAACATCAAAACAGTTAAAGTGAAATTAAAATTAAATGAATGAATGTCACTGAAGCAAAAAAGACTGTAATTAATGGATCCCTTAATTGTCTTCATAAAATATTTGCATGGGCATAATTTGCATAATTTACATGTATTAATTAATCTTTCAAAGGAATTTTATGCTGAGAGAAGCCAAAAATTCCCTTTGTTTTATTTAGCATCTAATGAAATATTTATTCTCTTTAATGAACTTTTCATCTTGATTTGAATATAAAAATACGAAAAGTTTTAACATATTTTAATGAGACAGCCTTTCATAAAACAACGTGTCAAGACGTCGCCAGTTTTTCGGGGGGTTTTTTTCCCCCCGTCGCGTGTGTAAAGCAGATGTTTCAACATTTGCGCTAATATCAGCGCCGATTTCAGGAAGTATTTGAATCGGGGAGATTTGTTTGTCGAGTTCCCACCTCCCACTCCCCCCCCCCCCCTGCTTTCGTGATCATTTCATCTGTCAGGAGCAAAACGCCGCGATGTTTAAGCCCCTCTCGACAGTGTATTAAATGTCATCCTCTATCAAATAATCGCATTCTCTTTGTTTTCATTAACACCCCTATAAATTGCTCCAACTGTGAAGCTGGGCAGGCAGGCAGACAGACTGCGAGGTGATGCTTGATCTGCTGTTGTGGGCTTGTGTGCATGTGTGCGTCGAGTTGTGCATACCTAACCCACACCCCCCCACACACACACTCGCACAAATTCAAACACCCCCACCCCCCTCCATCTTTGGCTTTCTGTTCTTGCTACTGCTGCATTCATGCTGTAATGACTTTTACACAGAACTCAGTGGTTGTTGCTTGAATAGAGGCAGCCAGAGTGCAATGCCTTTGAGACCTACAGCAGTGCTGGGTAATTAGCCTGTGTGTTTGTACACCCCTCATCCTCCTCCCCCCCCCCCCCCCCCAAAAACACACAGTACATACACACACACACTCATACACACAACAAGCTTTTGTTGTCTCCCCCGTCTGTGCACAATTCATAAAACACAGCCTAAAAGGGAGGGCAGGACTAATTGATAAAATATTGATAATGTAATGAGCATATAGATGATAATAAAGCACCCCAAAAATGTGTGTTAAAATAACAGCAATAGGATGTTTTTAATTAGCGGAGGTGAATGCTGTCTCTTCTGTTTCCAAGACATCGTAATCAGGTGCATCCTCTGCGGCTCGGCGGAATAGTAGTCAAGCGCCGTCTCTGATGTCCTGCACGGCTTGTGTCATGTCCGACAACGCGCGCCGCTAAACGCCTTTGTGCGCGTTTCTCTTCAACATTGAATTATTTAGGCGCACTGCCATGGAGAGGTGTGCTTCTTAAAGGCATTACCGTGGCACTCTCCGGCAGAGGAAATGTGAAGGTAATAAACGTCAAACATGCTCCTGAGCTGTGCCTAACAGATGCTTTTACCAGCTCAGTGTCGGAGCAGCGCTGCTCGCTCAGGCGAACACTCAGACAAGAGTGTTTGCCTGAAATGGACAAAGCTCGTTAGGTTGGAGGTGTCTGGAGATAACGTAGCAATGGAATGTCTGCCATTTCTAATAAACACCATTCCCATGCAGGAAATGTCACTTAGCGAGCGCCTTACGTCGTAAGTGCAGGATTATGTTCAACAAGGATATCAGTTTAGATGTGTTAAATATGTGTGATGAGTCTCGTGCGTCATTGTTATAACTGCTTTAACACTGTTGGCATTAAAATATGCATGTACGCTCTGTGTTTATATATCTATGCTGATGTAGTGTGCCACACTTTGTATTGGTGTTTTCCCTCTGATATCACCAAGTTTTTTGTAGTGGTTGGAAGTAATAAAGTAAAAAGTCTGCATGATATTTAATCATATTTGTCATGGCTGCTAACTTAATCTTATCCCCAAATCAGTTTATGAATTCATAGCGGTGCCGCTGAAATTGAAAGACTACAGGGCAACATTTCAAAGTTAGGTTTCATCAACAATCGCATCCTGAGTAGTGCTTTTTACGTCAGCGGGATGTTAGCTGTTGGCTAATCTTTGGCTTCTGTGTGTTCTCTGTTGCAGATGGAAGACTTTTCTTGAAAACCACAGTGATGTACTGATAAGGCCACGAGGAGCTGGAGGAATTTAAAAAAAAAAAAGAGAGAGAGAGAAAAAAGGGGGCGGGGTGGGGAGAAAGAAAGAAAAGAAAACTCACGAAGACTTTCGAGAGCCCTTATCCAGGCAGATTTAGTAGTGGAAGGAAGTCAAGCTGCTTGTAGGAGTTCAATGGACATGCTGTGTTCACCCCAGTGCTGGACAAGGTTGAGTTTGAATGTAGAATAAGGAGTCTTTTTTTCATCGCAGAGGCCAACTATGAAATAGTTTGACGAAGCAGGTTTTGACACAACAGCTTGGCCAACGTGAAGGATAAACATATATATTGAGCACAGTAAAAATGTACCCATGGTACATGGTTGGTAATAACTCATAAATTCACAGCACTGAAGATTTTTATACTGTATCTCAGCCAGCGAGAAAGCTTCAAAAAAAAAAAAAAAAGAAGAAGAAGAAATCCGACTGAAGTTCTGTTTTGTATTTCAAATTGAATTTTGAGAAGCTAACGAGATGAACCTTTGTGTGTGGGCGGGGTGGAAGGGGGAGGGGGGGGAAACGTGAGTTTATCCATGTGTTCATCAAAAGAAGAAGAAGACGACTGATGTTTGATTTTCATGTTTTCTAAATTAGATGATAATACAATCAAGTTTCCTTTTTACATTTGTTGTACATACGAGATCCGATGATGCTGATAGGAAAAACTCACTCCAGTCGAACCCGAGTGGATTGATAAGGTATGTGTATATAATGTTAAGAGGTATTGTGTATGCAGTAGAACTATTAGGCAAACAATACCGCCATTTATATAAACCTTCAGTTTTTGTTTTGTTTTTTTGTTCTTTTTTTTCCGTTTTGTTTCGTTCTATCTCTGAGCCGTCATCCTTTCCTATAGCTGCCATTTTGGTGAGAAAGCATGCAGGCATGTAAATGTTTGTCCTGGAATTATGATATTTAATAAATCCTATATTGTGCTGAACAAATACTAGGGTTGACTCACTCAAGCCCGGATGATTTTAAAAACATAATTAACAAACGTTTCACTTTCAAAAATGAAGTTTTTTTTGTTTTGGTTTTTTTGCTGTCAATACTACTGTAATCTTTGTAACAGAGGTAATATTTCTTGGAATTTACTGTACATTTTTGTCATGAGGCACACTCAGAAATCAGCACCTCTCGATGCGTTTTTTAAAAAAAAAGAAGAAGAAGAAAAAAGATGAATTATTGTTGTGTCAGCTTGAAAAACAATCAGTCATGATGCAACCTTTCAAATCTAAACGCTATTTGATTACATTGCTCTAATCCCTGTTTGACCTATACAAATACACTTTTTTTATTTTAGTTTTTTTTATAGTGTTTCAAGATATCCCGATAAGAAAAGGAAAAAAAATTCATAATTTTACTGTTACTTTCCCTAAAGACTTTTGGAGTTTTGGTGCTGAAACACCTGTGTATATTCTGAAGACATAAACTGATGTCAGTCCTTTAACTGCAAAACAGTTTAGACCTTTTGCGTTATAATCAGGAGAAGAAGAAGGAGGAGGAGGAGGGAGAGTGTCCCATGTTCACAATGTTTGTTCTTTTTTGTTCTCAATGGAGTGTCTAGGTCTGTTGTCACTGATAACTTATATAACTTCTTGAATCATCTCTTCATTGTATTTCAAATTCAAATAAAGTTAACATGTTGATGATAAACCCAATGTTTGTGACACAGTTCTGTGCCATTGACGTGTTTGAAGCGGTTGCCCCACAATACGCTGATGTAACATTTCCAGATTGCACATTGATATTGCTGAAACATAAACACACAGATCTTTACCACTGCGATACCCAAACATGATTTTATGGAAACATGGGGGCATCTGCTTTCTTTGAGGTTCTAAGTCATATAGTTGTGTTCATTTTAGGGACATTTACAATCAGCCTTCAGACTTTTAACTCTTTTCTATGTATTAAGAATGAATGAACATATTGTTCTTTGCTTTTTAAAGCAGTAAAAAAATGTGTATAATCAGATGATGGGAATAACTTCTGTACAATTTCCTTTCTTTTCACTGACTCCAGATGCAAGTGCGAGTGTGCCCTTTGACTTGTGTGTGTGTGTGTTTAATGCATAGGCTGATCTTAGATAAAAGACGCAAATGAGGGTGTGACCAAGCTCACTGTAAATAAATTACTTCATGTGTACTTCCGTGTGTATGATGCTAATTCACAATATATTGCCCTAAAATGATAAACAAAAACACTCCCTTTAACCAGCCCTGCACGATGAATGGCCATGCTCCGTAATATCCGCATTAAAAAGCACTTGGGGTCTCGCTGAGCTGTTGAGAAATCATAAAGCTGTTATAGTCGTGCCGCCTTTTTGTTTTGTGAGTGTGATATTGGCAACGTTTCGGCAGCATAATATGTTTTCCTTGTGTGCATGCTTTCTGACGCAGTCGTGTCCACAGTGGAATAATTTCCTTTGCACACTTAAAGTACTAGCTGAGGTAAGCACAAATTCATTAAAAGTTTTTGAAAGCTGTCAAATCGTGAGGCTGCGACGCAGGTTTTAGTCATTAGTCACAATCGGTTACTCATTTGATCATTTTTCACAAGAAAATTAGAGGAAATACAGGTTCCTGTAATTATTTAACAGAAGCACTTCACCTGTATTGCCATTATAGCTCACCTGGTTGAGTAGGTGATCCATATGCTGAAACATCGCAGATGCCTGCCAGGCTTGAGTCTGCACTGGGCTGTTTTCTGCATGCCATCCTCCGCTTGCTGTTTCCTGTCTGCTCTCCACTGTCCTTAAAAATAAATATAAAAATAAACCTAATGACCATGCACTTGCAAGGAGAAACAAAGTAGCTGCGCATACACAAACACACACACACACACACACACAGTGTACACTCCTACTGTACTAAAAGGGGACCGTTGTTTTACACAGCTCATGAATGGACTACTTTTTTTAAGGAAACAAAAACAAAATTGAAAATATTATTTAAATGCCCTTTTTATATAATATAACAGAAAATACATAGGTCTTAGTCACAACAGATTATTTATTTACAGATAGGGAAATACAGGTTCCTGTAATTCTGAAGGATTTTAATTTTGAAGGAACAAATATAAAATGGAAAGCATTAAATAAGGGACTTGTTTAATTAAAAAAAACCAAGAGGAAGGCAGCAACCCTGGATAATATTTCTTTTTTTTATGTGGAGCTGGATGTCCTGACGCATTCTGCACTACATTTAGTTTTTAGTTGTACGAACAAAAATTCCATGGGACTTTTGTTCGGAATAAAAACAATTAATAGGTAAATGCTTGTACAAGCTTTTCTTGATTTATTGCTTTTGTTTTTGATTCACAACACCTATCCACAGGGATTATTTTCAAGTAACTGTAACAGGTACAGCTCTTAAAGCACATAAAAAATATAAAATCGACATTGAAAGACAAATTTCTCTAGTAAGCAATTCTGAGTGAAATGTGTTGACACAGCATGCTTGGCCCATTCCCATTTTGCATGCTTTTTAAAGCATGGCCATAACACAGCCACAGAGATGAATAATTGACTGATTGCTGCATAATTCAGTGCTGCATTGTAAAAATTCAAGGCCTAAAATATTTCAAGCTTTTCTTCTTTTTATTAAAAATGAGGTTAAAGTTTCAATCAACCTTGAAAGAACAATATGACACACAGTGGGCAATCAATCATGAAACCATGCTTCTCGTGGAGTTCAGACTCACACTGGCTGTCAGCGCTCCACTCAGTAAAAACTTAAGTTCACTATCGTTTGAAAGAAACTTGCATAACGTCCACTTGATCCATCAAATGACTCCAAGGTTCCTTCTTTGCGCTGCAGTGAAAGATTCACTCTGCTCACCTCCAGTGAGCTTCTGAGATGTGGGCTGTTCTCAGCTATTACTCAGATATTCTGTTTATTTCTCTATCTGATGCATTTTCCTGCACTTGCATGTGAGAGAAAAGGCCCCGCAGCTACATGTTTCATATCACTGCACATTTTGTAATAAATTCAATTCAGTACAAATATGACCATGAGGCACAAAGACTTTAAATACCAAATGTGCATTATAGATGTGCTGTTGCCTTTTTTTCTTTTTTTTTTGCTTCAACGTAGTGCGGAAAGCACACTGCTGATTGCATATTCAAAGCACTGAAAGCCTTGTGAGCTGTGTGTTTTACTTACTTGGCTCGATGTGTCGATGCGCTCATGAAGACATCATGAACACATGATTATTCTTGCATGATCCTTTTGGTTCATCCAATGTCACAATGCGACTTGGTTGATGTTTTGTGCTTGCATGGTTAGCTTAAGATCGGCGACAGATTTTTTTGCACTTAAAGGATGAAAAGTTTCACAAGTGAGAAATGAAGCTTTATTTATGCTTCAACGTCGTGTCAACTACATAGTTAACCCCAACTAATTCCTCGCTCATCATCCCAGCCAGGCGATGACCATTTAGTGAAGGCAGTAATATTGCATGTCTCTTGATAACTCAGTGGTGACCTGGAGTCTGTGGAGAGGCATTAGGAAGGTGCAGGCTGATCATCTGAAAGATGGGACTAATGTCACCTAATCAGATAGACCATTATGCATTAGTGAAACTACAAAACAGTTTTATCTGACAAGGGCCAGGCCACATTACCTAAATTAACATTTTGCAAGCATGAACATGGAAGACGACAGAAGCGAGAGGAGGGCTGTAGGACGGCGGCCTGTGCTTAGACATTCGGCAGTAATTATTAATTTATGATTGTCTCTGGTCTTAATGAAAATGAAAGCCAGGAAAGAGAACAGGGAGGGATAATGTGGCGTGAAATTGAGTTTCATTTGTACAGGGGCCACCTTTTAACTCTGCGCTTCTTAGGCGGAAATGAAGCCGAGCTCTTCCCCCCCCCTCTCTCTAGTGAATGCATTTCAGATTTTTTTTTTTTTTAACTATGTTTCTATCATGCCTTCCTTTGAGTCTTCAGTCAAAGCGTGCTCATATCCTCTCATCCTTTTGTGATATTTG